CAATGCTTATCAGTTTTAACATTCCAACAAATTATTTTGATGATTCAATAAAAAATTATTTTCAAATCTGTTTTTAGCAAAATTTTTAGACTTTTCAACAAAATCATTCTTTCCCTGATAGAAATACAGATACAATTAATCTCTACATACTTTCGCGTTCAATCATTACGAATATTTTTTCAATTTCATATTCTGATATGCATCGCATAACAAGAAAGACAAAAATAAATCATTATCTTTAATATCTAAGATAATTTATTTCTTAATTATAACCGAATGTATATATTGTTTCCTAAGGTCTCTATTAATATCGGTTTATTAATTAATTATAATTAATAAGGTTTCTATTTATATCGGTTCTTAAGAAATCTATATTACAGCTAATCTTGTAGTTATAGGTATATTGTCCTATATTTTCTCCCCCAGTCATATTACAATTGTCTTATTTTCTCCCCTAGTTAATAGTTCGATAACTGGGACACGTCCATCGCGTGTTTATGCTATGTCATGCGTCGCGCTATGAATATGGCAGGGTGCGTGTGGGCGATTTGCGTTTCCTTTCGAGGAGGACTCACCCAGAAGTATTGCCGGTTGAAGCCGGGGATCTTCGTGTGAGAGGCCCCGACCTCGTGAAGGTACGTCAAGAACGCGTCCATGTCGTCCAGGCTCTTGATACCTTCGTCGAGGGTAGACATGACCGTTTTCGCGTGCTCGGCTAATTCCATGCTCGAGGACTGCTGCTCCTTTGTTTTTAGTTCCCGAAACTTCGTGAACATATTTAGCAATTCCGCGTTCTCTTCAAATAACCTGGAATCACACGGTATGAGGTATCGTTAGAGAAGTTGTGAAGACACCAATAGTACATGTCAATTGTTTGCATCAAAATTAAATGTCATATAAATATCTGAAAATTTAATATATTTTTCTTTTTTTTTTTTAAATATGAGCTATCAAATTTTACCTCATATAAGAAATAAGAGAAAATGTCTTGAATAAACCGTATTGCTCATAATTACGTTGGAATAATGTAGGTATAATAAAAAAACTTCATTGTTAATATGTATAAAGTTGTAAACGGATGTTGGAGCAGAAATTTAAACTAAGTGTGTTTAAAAAAAGATATTTAGTAATATTTAATAAATTATAATTTATGATTGAAAGATGCAGTCGTTAAAGATAGCTAATCTGTTGGAAAAACAAGTTGAAAGAGGAAGGAATTTTCGATCAAAAATTTAAAAGATGTCAGAAGTTGAAGCAAAGAAGTGAAGCTAAGTGATTAAAAAAAACGTTGAACGTTTTTAATAAGCTTTAAACTTCGTCTGTTCTACAAGAATCATAAATTTCAAACTCAATTCTTCGATGATCCGAGATAAGTTTTTCTTTCAGCCCCGATACTTTCCAAATATATTTGGCGAGTCTCCCGAGATGTTTTACACACATATACACACACAATTTGCGTATAAAGACTGATCCCCCAATTCCTTCAAAATGCCTGATGTCCCGCGATATCTTTTCACGGCATCTTCTATTTTTCACTGATCGAAAAATGACCGTAGGGACAAAACCGGACGTATCTTGAATTCTTAAGCTTTACGTTATCCAATGTCGACATATATCAACCACGGGAGGAATTGATCGCTAGGAAAAGATGCGCTATTTGTTTCACTCGTTCGCATCCGTTTTATTTTTTCGGAACATTTGTTTCCCCATTGTTTCGTGTGACATCATGGTACTTAATGCACATAGATAAAAAAATCATCGGTTTTATTTAACGCCGAAGAAGCTCAAAATAATCTCGTGAACTCGTCAAGGTATATTAAACTGTCACCAAGTAGTACGTGCGAGTCAACGAGAATTTATTGAAAAAATTTCGTTGCAATCTTCACGCGCACAGTTCCTCTTTCTCTTCCTCGTATACACACAGCTCTTTCGACTGCACAAAAATTTGGTTAACTTTTTCTCTTCGAGTTTTTTTGTACTCGTTGGAGTAACGAGTTCACGTGAGTCTCGTTATGGCAGCTCGACAAAAATGTTTTCGTTCCGCGTATGGTAGGTTGCTCTCTCTCCCCCCCTTCTCTCTCTCTCTCTCTCCCTCCCTCCCTCCCACCCTCTCTCTCTCTCTCTCTCTCTCTGTCATTCATGAAATACCTCTTTGTACAACGAGGCATTCCAATCTCGCGCTTGTCTATCTAGAGGAAAACATACGCGCAAGGGAGAAAATATAAACCGCGTTATTTTATCTTTGATGGTTCTGACGGTTAATAAGTGCGCGCCGCAATTTAAAGTCTGTATCTGACTTACGCATCGGAGAAGACTGCGAAAATTGATTGAAAATTAGAATTCGACCAATCAGATAAATTTAATCTGCCCCGTTTCGACCGGTTGAATTTTAATCTTTAATTTGCGATCTTCAATCTTCGTAATCTACTTGTACGTGAAATGCACTACACTTCCCTTTTCAGTCTGCAAAATGTAATGTATGTTTTTATATTATATTACAAACAACGGAATATAATAAAATTATAAAATATTTTCTCCCCGTGGAAATATAATGTTGTGTATCTGCTTACATATTACCTCTGTATCAAATTTACATATTATCTCTACACTTGGAAAATTTTCTCTACGCACAAAAAAATCGCACAAAACGTATAATTAATAAATAATAAAATGATATTATCCAAATATATATTTTATGGCACAAATAAAAAGAGATAAGGGAAAATTCATTTTTATCTCGTCTAAAGAATGTGGAAAATTAACCAGCGTATCCCAGGAGCTTAATGTTTTCAGCGACCCGAAAAAAGTGTCATATCAGAAAAAATCGTGAAATCGTCGATATTCAAATTAGTCCGATAGTCGCGTCAAGATTATTCCACGCGCGTATCTCTCTTTCGCGTCCGTACAAATTATCTTTCCTGGAGGAAAATGACATTTCGCGTGGTATCTATCCGCCGTGATTTTTCACGACGTGCAAACTCGTTACCGATTACGGCGCAGCGCGAGTTTTATTTGATCTCGACGGATAAATGTTTGCGAAGAAGCAGAAACGGATACCCGAGGTGCAATTTCGAAAACTTCGTAAATTTAAGTACATATATAATATATATACTCTTCGAATTCGAACAGATCATTCGCGAACGTACAGATAAATAATGAATTTTCGCACGTCGAGAACAAATTTAATTATGAAGAATGCCGGGTCAATGAGACATATTTCATTTTTCACTTATGTGTTAATTCAGATTGTAAGTATATTTTACTCATAATAATTAATAAATATGCATCAAATAAAAGTTTTCGCAAAAGTTGCATGTATCTTTGAAACGGAATGACACTTGCAAACCTTTCATTTTTACATTGCAGTAATCGCAATTATTATTATTACTATTATTATTATTATTATTATTACTAGTAAATAATAGTATTAATTTGGTCTAATGTGTAATTATTATGTAGATATTAAAATATGTATTGTTTGCTAAAATTTTTGATCTTTTTAATCATATTAATTTACATAATGACTATTACTTGTAACATTGATGATAACCGTCATTAAGAGATCGAAACGTCTGTTAAATAAGACAATATTGTTATTAAAATGTTAATATCATATGTATCGATAAACAACTTCAGTCATTTATTTATTCGATTTAATAATATATTATAATTTGCAAAAACATCTAGCTCATTAGCTTCCTAGCTATGTGAAATTTGAATTGTATTTATAAGAGCCTTAATTCATACTACAGGTATTAATTTAAATTTAATCATATTATTTATATTATATTTAATAATTTTACTCATAAATTATTGAAAATCGCAGATAACAAATTTCTTGATTTTCATATATATTTGAAAAGATATTCTCTCTCTCTTTTTCTCCCTTCAAAATAGCGACATATGTGATATAATTATTGTGCACATACAACAGCTGAATCATCCGCAATATATGCTATCGAGTGTCGCCCTTATCGCAGTTCGTTATGGTTGCCCACGTTTCCCGCATACGCTTCATAAATCTCTATGGATTGATTAGTTACGATTAAATATAGAAATCCCCCGGAGGATAGCACATGGCTAATATTTTACCGTGCTATTAGTTTTTGACGTTAGTAGATAGGTATATTTAATAACGACCAACTAGCCAATCTTGATTAAACTCTGATTAATTTGAATTGGATTTCTTTTGTCATTTTTGCTTTCGGAGCAAAAAATCCTGCAATCTACAATATCCTTGAGCTTCAGTTAAAATTGCTCGCGTTTTAAACGACGCGTAAAAACACGCGATTTCAGGCCGAAACGAGGGTTAAAGAGCGCGTAAACGCAGATTTGCATGTAAGTTACCGTGATGCAAATGGGATCGACGTGACTGAAGGGGCCTGGATGGCCGACGGGCGCAAGTATTGACCGGGTATGATAAAATATTTTTAAATGCGGTCCAACGGGCAATAAACGGTATGACGGTATCCGCTCGGTAAGTTCGGCGGGTTCTTATCGTCTGGGAACGGATTGAAAAGTTTCGTATCGGAAATCCATATTCTACCCCTCGTGGAAGATGCTTAAAAGCGACGAGAAACAACGATACTGCTGTCGATTCGGCGCGCGCGCGACGTCAGCTTTTCCATCGTGCTGCTCCCATAATCCGATAAAAAAAGCAACCCTAATGATCGATACGACGACGAGTAATTATCAACAGTGCATCGAACATTGATGCCGATGCCTCGTTGCATCCGTTTCGATTTCTACAATAGCGTGTGATTTATATACCTACACTTTTCAAACATAATTTTTTTCTTAATTTGACAAACAAAAATGAGACAAATAATAAATAAAATGTTATATTTTTTTTAATCCCAAAGAAACGGATAAGTATGCGAGATAAGATAAAAGAAAGATATGTAGAGATACCGATACGTAATTCCAATCGATTTTCGCCGAGGGTCGATACAGTAAATTAATTTGGATTGAAGTGGAAACCTTTCCAAAGGAACATACCAAACACGCCCGGATATTAACACGTTCGAGTAGAGCGCAATGAAATTAATGCCTTGTATTTCCATTAAGGTAAACCAGCGAAATCCAGCCGCGAGCAACAACGCGTTCAACCGTTTTCTAATTACGCCGAGGAAACCGACTTTAAGATCATTATGATAAATAATAAGTCACATCTAACATAAACTACTTAAGAAAAAGCACAGATTACGCAGGGTTTTCATTGATAATAGATAATGTGCATATTTATATTTATTATATAATATATGATCGTAATTTTGAGTTTTATCATTAATATTTGGCTATATTGGACCTATATAATATAATCAAATTAAGTGACATAAAATCGAGTATAAAATGTTGCATGAATGATTGCCGATTTCAATTGTTCTGAATGATATTGTTAATAAAGTATTTGTTATTATAATACCAAAAAGACTAAAACATGTTTTAGTTTAGCGAGATGTTACTTTATGGATACTGGAATATATTTATAATGATAATCAAATATCAAGTGCATCAAACATATATATATGTATATATAAATAAAATATTAGCGGTTTCAATAATTGAAACGTGTATCTTGTTATCTGATTAAAAGATAAATATTTGTTTATTAATTCCTCTGATCCGATCAAAGTAATGCACTTATATTTCGAGGCTCGGGCACATTTATAAAATCGTTTAATTGCACACTTAACGAAATTGTTTAATACATCAGCAATAACATGAATAATTGGGTAAAACATTTCGTAAATAATTGGCGAATTTAATATTTCGAGTGTGTCGTTAATAGATAATAAAATGTTAAA